AAACCCCTCTTTTTCTTTACCCTTTGCCCCTTCCTAGGCTTGTAGTCCCAACTTGTCCTTGCTAAATTGCTTCTTCCCAGCCTATTCTCTACTTGAATCTCTGCCAAGGTCGTCATCAACCTTAGCGTACTTTTCAACCCTGGCCATGAGCTCCTTCATGTCTATTGCCGGTCTTCTTGTAAGTAACTGATAGAGCGCATTTTCCTTCGACAATCCAATTTTGAAGGATGCTACCGTAATTTTAGGATTGCATGCCTCTACCTCGTTCATTGTTTCCCAATACCGATGAGCATATTCTCGCAACGTTTCTCTAGTTCTTTTTTTTAATGTCAGTAACACCCTCACATCCTTAGGCTGTCGATTACTGGTAATGAACTGAGCCGTAAATTTCTCGGCGAGTTGGCCCCAGCTATCCACCGAGTCCCTAGTAAGCCCATCAAACCATTTCATGGTCAATTCCCCTAGGCTGCTAGGAAATATAGTACATAACAAGGGCTCATTCTTCCTATGCACCGTCATGACAGACATTAATTACGAATATAGGCAATTGGATCCGTCTTCCCATCATACAGTTTGAAGTTAGGGACAACAAACTTGCTTGAGATCCTTGCTCATTTTATCCATCTGGTAAATAGAGATACATTTGTTCCACCAACGTATTCCCCCATGGCCCTTCATGCTAAGTCTCTTGCCGATTTCTGCTCGAGCCTCCTTAGCTGACTATCGAGCTCTTCAGTGATGAAGCGCTTCCATTCTTCCTCCTCATTTTCAGTTCAGTGTGACTTTCTTCGATATCTAGCTTCTGACGACTCTTCACTACTCATCTGTCTCCGACGGTCTAGCGTCCTTTGTTTTAAGGCATTCTCTCTTGCATATGACCTTTTAAACATCTCGCCATGTGCATCTAACTAATCTTGTGGAGATTGAACCAATTTCGTTAGGGTGAGATTATCCCCTCGGCACGAAGGGACTCTCCTTACAGACCATCATCCTGAATTTCATTATCTTCTGGTTTGAAACTAGCTGAGGAAATCATGTCCTCATATTGTTCATCTTGGCTTTCATAAATGTCTACCTAATGTCCCTATTAGAGTGGAACGACACATGGAAGTTTGAATCTGAGTCTTCTTGTTGCGCGTCGAATTCTACTAGTGATCCAATTGTGTTTTTGTTCTGGAAGTGTTCCCATAGACGGTGCCAAGTGTAGGAGGATAAAATCATTGTACCTCCTAAGCTTTGTGAAAGAATTGCCCCTCCTTGAAATTGCTACCTACAAAAAGGAACAAACTGTCTAGGATTTAAGTGTTTCGATCAAAGGCACTTCGATGCTTAAGTTAATAAATGTATATGAAGAAAATATATGTAAAAAGGATTCAACTGACCTCCAACCATGCAACCTCACTGCTTTATATAGACTTTTACCTTGCTTCTAGGATTCCCTTTACTGATGTGGGAGATGACACATCTCCTTCATTCGGGATTGTTTGTTGGGGATCGCAGAAATCTCTCTAACGCTCCCTTGATCGCAGAAATCATAGTTCTTTTGAGTCATTGACTCTACCTAGCTGTTGCACCTAAATTTATCAATTATAGGCGATCATCCCATTGTTTGGCCAAGTCTTCAAGTTGTGTTGTGCACACGTGCTCGATAGTATGAACCGAACTGTTGCAATTCGGTTTGGCTTGTTCCAGGCTACAAATACTTGTGCCCCACGGGACTAGTCTTTTCATGATCACGTGAGTATTTCACCTGTCTATACACATGATATAATTTCATGCCCCTTCAAATGATAACACAGGATATACATTTTGAAATCAAAACACAATAGGAAACTATGTCCATATAATTTTAAAATTATAATATTGCATTTGGTTTGTTGTAATATTTTTAGGATAAAATGGCATTCACCTCCCTCAAAATATGTTCAAATAACAATTAGAACTCTTATAGATAATTACCCTAATCTTCCTTGTCAATGACATCCATCTCAATTATTTGGCACCAAAGGTCAAAAATGTTGATTTAAAAAGGTAAAATTAGTATGTTATCAACAACCAAAACACAAGGAGGTCAATGTTATTATCTATACATGAAAGGATCTACTAGTTATTTAGAAAAACCTCAAAAAGGTGGATGTAATTTATTCCTTCGTTATGTTAAAACAGAAGGAACATTAAAGAGAATGAACTTGAAAATGGAATTGAACACTCACAACTATTCTATTGTTTGCTGACAATTATAATTCAGTGTTGTAAGAAAATTGAAATTTTATTTTAATATTATGATAATTCAACCATTTTACTAAATTAAATTTCTAAATCCCAATATAGACCCTGACCCTGAGCCTTAGACCAAACATTGGAGCATAGACCGCGAACGGACCGAGCCTTGGATCTTGATCTTGACCCTAAATTTCAAACCTTGAATCCCAAGCTTAGACCACAAACTTAAGCCCAAACTCAGACCCAAGCTCGAACCCAAATATCAAATCTCGACCAGACCCAAACCCAAACTTGAACCTTAACCCAAACCCTCAATCTTGAACACGAACTTAAAACCCGACCACTAGACCCCAAATCCAGATCCCAAACCTAGACCTCAAACCTGGACCTTGACCTTAATAAACACAAACCCAAATCCGAACCTTGATCTCAGACCCCAAACCCCAATCTTATATCCTAACCCCTAGGGGTGCAACTTAGGCTAGCTAAACCAAACTCAACTCAAGCACAACCTATTTTTTTCGGTACTTAAATTCAAGTTTTTAATACTTGGGTTGAACTTAGGCAAAATGTTTATAACTGAAATTGAATTTGTGCAATACTCAGGTTGGAATTTCGAGCTGATGGATTCAACCCTAGTTCAAAAAAAAAATATCTTGCAAACATGTATATAAAATATTATGGCATCTAAGTCATACTCCCCTATCCATTCTTATTGATATTTTAAACCTATTAAAGATGTGAATTTTGTTTTTTTTGTTTTTTAATTAGTTTTGATTCATGAGAGATAAAATTTAGGTTCAATTTCAATGTTGAACACAAAATTGAGCCTTATTTTTGTTCAATTAGGTTTTGATTAACGAAAAACTTTAATTTCAACATGAGTTTAACATCAAAAAAAAAATCTGAGTTTCACACAAATTGTGTAACCAAAACTCAACTTGAGTTCAAAATTTTAAAGATAGAATAGCCTCGAGTTGAAGGTTTCGTATCTTGAGTTAACCTTGAGTTGATCCCTTAACTCACTCGAGTTACAGCCCCATTAACACCCGACTTGAACCTAGACCACGATTTAGACACCAACAGACAACATAGGCCCAAACTTGCACCTAAGACCTTGAATCCTCAACCTAAACACAAATGGGACTCTTGACTTGAACCTAGACCTTGATCCTAACCCAGGCCCCAACTTCGATCTTGACCTTAAAACCCCTCCCCTCCCTGAACCCAAACCCAACCCTGGATCTTGGGCACATACATTGAACCTTGCCCAAACCTGTACTGGGATCATGATCTGACCCCAATCCTTGGCCCTGAAGCCCATATCGGATCCAAAACCTCGTTCAAACTCGAAGTTGGACTCAACTGCACCCCATATTCAATCACAATCCCAGGCCTTGAACTTAGACCTAAACTCAAACATAAAACTAGACCTGAACAGACTGTAGACCCACCCATCACCAGGTCCAGGCCCCCAGACCTAGTATTCAGGTTGAGGTGGTGGTGGCGGTTGTGAGGGAAGATGGAGGTGAGTGAGGATGGGTAAAAAATATACAATATTTATTAAGGAACGAATAATCCTGTACTAGTGAAATTAGGCAGTCCATGATAATGACAATAAATTTTTATTACTACAAACCAAAAATTAGAATGAATATTACTTAGTAATGGTCATCTCATTCTGATGCTTCATTAACACCAACCAAACACATCGTAAGACAGGGTCACCACAATTCATTTGATTGTTGAGTGTACTTTGTTAATTTTACAAAAACTTTGATTTGAAATATGTTTAACCCTATGTAACCATACCGTACATACAATTTTAAACCAACCAATCTCTCTGTATGATGATGTAAACATAGTTTGAAACAAGAAAGTATTTCCTTGAAATTTCGCCCATATCCTTGAAAACTAAAATCCAAATGCCTTTTGCAGTTGCACTGTGCAACTTGAAATGGAAACAGAGGGAAAGGAAAAGAATAAGGAAAGACAAAGGGACAAACACAAAGAAGAAAAAGAACAGAGACGGAAAATAAATTACTTTTTCAAAGAAAGATTGTGATTTCATTTTTTTCAAGTTTTATTCATCATTTTGGAAGGTGAATTCAAGTTTCTTCTAAGTTATAAAAGTTTCCATTATTTTTCTTTGATATAATCTTTCCATCTAGTTTTCCAACACAACCAAACAAGAAAACTGGAACTCCCAGTATCATTTAAATTCTTCTCCTTTCTGATTTTGACTTCAACATTCACAAACTTTCTTCCTTTGACAAGCAAAAAGTATTACTTCTGCTATAGATGTCAATAAAATATCCCCACAGATGTCTACACAAGCAAATACAAATCATTGGAGGGCTAAAAACATTAATAGTAAATTGCGGTAATACCCTTCAAAGTATAGCAAGAATACACCCCATCGTCAATGGTTTTAACAACTACGCTTGATCCCAAATGTTGCTAATTTCACCATCTTGCAGTATGCGTTGAATGGGGTAGATGATTTTTTCTGATTTTCGAAGGGTAAAAGCCCATGCAACTTGCTGAAAAAATATTAAAAATACTTATATTTTTTAAACAACCATCTCATTCGATAAGTTGAAAAAAGTTTTAAGTTATTAGAGAAACGTGTTACATATGTATTTATCTACTATTGCCCCTCGCGAGTGGCCTCGCTTGAGTGATCCATCACTGTGTTTCTTTTTGTATGGTAAAGGGAGAGGCGTGGAATGATTTGAACTCACAATTTCTAAACTCTAATACCATCTTGAACCCATGTCTACACTAAAAACTCAAGCTACATGCAAAATCTAACTTGCATGTAAAGGGACGTTTTGAAATATAAATACTGAAATTACACTATTTGCATACATTCCTTCCCTTTGTACCAAAAGATTTCGATGATTTCCATAGTCGGCATACATGCCCACATAAACTTCAGACCCCAAACCCTTAAGATAAAAACTGTACAAGAAAACCTAACCTCGTCAGTTTTTAAGCTCTTAACTTGCATAGACTGGTGTAACTCCCAGCCCTACAATGCCACCTGAAATAGTCATGAACATCTGTGCCAACCAGCCTCGTTTTCTACCACCGCAACCCGGAAGCCAGGGTCATCATAGAACTCTTCCCTGTATCTGGCAAATATGAAACTTGCTGTCTCCAGTCTCACACTGCATAATCTGCGTGACGAGTGACGGATTCAGAAGTCGGGGCTTAACAACAGTCTTCTCACGAGTAACTGGCCCAAAAAATTTGAATGAGATATCTTAGTTCACTTCACTTTCAACCCATGGCCTTTTCATAAATGATGCCAAGTGTATTCATAGCTTTTCTTGACTAAACAGATTGAATTTGGGAACACAAAAATCACCCACATTAGAAGTTCCACCGATCCAATTGGAGCTTGGCTTCAGCCATGTCTTTCTGTGCCTTCTTCCGTCGATAGAATATTGGACAATCCCGACTAAGTGAAAGAAAGAACAACAGCAGTTAAAACCATAGCACAATATAGCATATGAGAGATGACAGGCACAAGCGCAAGTGCCACAACCGGCAATGGCTTGGTCATCATTACAGACCGCAAGCTCACAACCACGAGTTGTATACAAAAGAAATTGTTATAATGTGATATGAAAGGGGCGATGAGAGGACACCTGACTTTCATGCCAGCATTTTTTAAACAGATACAGTACATAACAGGATACACAATTATGCAGGGTACAAAACCATAAGATAGATACAATAGACAAACCTAGTGCAAAGCACATCTTGATGAAGAGAGCCTTGGCACTCTTGGCACTGTGTCCACAGCCTACCAAAAAGCTTCTCCAACTCCGACACTGCATCAATAATTTATTGTCTCAGAGACGGTGGTCATTAGAAACAACAAAAAATTCAACAGACTTAAGTGAGATATTTAAAATTAGAATACAAGCAGTTCTGGCATACCATTAGCTACAGTTTTGCAATAAAGTTCAGCTTCTCTTCCCTTGCAGTGGGAGCAGAGAGTGTGATCAGAATTACTGGTACATGCAAAAACACTGATTGTTAAACTATCCTACAAAAATGAATTATCAGTGATCTTACTAGAAGAAAATTTCACAAACCCATTTGCTTTCTAATAGATATTGAGGATGACTTCTCACTGCATGAATGAATTAATAGAGCATGGATGAAACAGGAAAATCAAAAAAGCTGGTGAACAACTTAATTCAGCCTCCATAAATTGTTTGAAATGAGACAGCAAGATATTGATTAGATTTTTCAAGATAGAGAACACAATTGGTGTCACTTACAAGCTGTGAAGTGGTTTTAATTTTATGCTCTTTCAGTAAATAAAAAAAAAAAATCAAAAACAGGGGAATGAGTGAACAGAAAAACACTGAAGTCATTGTAATGTAGATCTTAGGCTTGACGAGCGACATATATAAAATGACACATGGAGCTTCTCAAGTAGAACTAGATAATAGGCAATTGGGAAACTTTATTTGATAGTCTTGTCTTTTCTCGTCCAACAATTTTAGACGCCTCAGTTAGAGTATTCATAATAAAGGTAGTGTAGGCATTTTCTTTATGTTGTGTTGCCCTACTATATAAGGGTTACTTTGTATATTTCTAGGTTAACCTGTGTATTACAGACTTCTTTATGAATAATATATTCTCTCTCTCTTTCTCTTCTCTATTCTCATTGATCAATTTTATTATGGTATCAGAGCATGGTTTGATCTTAGCATTCTTAAAATTTGTTTTAAGAACACAGCAAATGTTTCAACCTCTTCTGAACTAGGGCTAACGTCATCAAACTGGAGCAAGGAGAGTACTACAGTACTCGATTCTTCATGGGCTTTCCAATGGTATGCTTTGTTTTTGATTTGGAGGTCATCGGATAGGGTTTTCTAATTTTTGAATGATTTTTCAAAAATTTCAGCCCTATTTTTTGATCTGTGAATTGGGGTTGTCTTTCTCGAATTACTTGCTTCCAATCAAGTCTAAAGGGTGCGATTAAGAGTATAGACTGGCTGTTTGTGTGATTTGAAGGTCTTTGGTTTGATTTTGGGTGTCTATTTGCTGCTTGGGACTGTCAGGCTACTGTTTACGATAAGAACAGCAACCGAAAGTCTTTGTGGGTTGCTTTGATCTTCAAATCTTCAGTTGTGGGTGGTTTTCTTGTTGTGACTTCGGCATTCTAGATTGGTTGGCTTGTTTCGGCAACTATGGGTGAGTTGGGTTTTTTGCTTGCTTCAACAGTTGGCTTTTTGCTCTGTTGGGTTCCGCTGGGTTTTTGGCTTATTTGGTGTTATTACTTCTTTGGGCTGCTGAGTTTGAATGTGACTGTGGTGCTGATTGATAATTGTTACTACAATGGCAAGTGGTCACTCTGATTCACTTCAAGTCATTAGTGTGAGACTAATGGGTGAAAATTATGTTTATTGGGCTTATGTTATGAAAAAAATTTTGTTAGGGAAAGACATGTAGAATTATATTAGTGGTGTTTTACAGCCTCCAATTGATACTAAGACAAAAAATTATGCTGATTTGAAGAGTACTTGGGATATTAACAATGCGAAAATTATCACCTGGATTAATAACTCAGTTGATCAGACCATTGGGGTTCATCTATCCAAGTTTACCACTGCTAAGAAAATTTTGGATTATTTGACCACACTTTTTGTTCAGTCTAATTTTACAAAGAGGTATCAACTAAAGCATGAGATTCGAGATGCGCGCCAAGGGGACAAAACCATCCAAGAATTCTATTCTGCTATAACTGGCTTTTGGGATTAGTTAGCACTTACTGAACCCACTGAGTTAAGCATTAATTTGGCATATCGCACCTTCAGAGAGGAACAGAGGCTGGTGCAATTCTTGATGGCCCTTAAGGATGACTTCGAGGGACTTCGTGGTTCTATTCTTCATCGTCACCCACTCCCCTCAGTAGATACAGTTGTTAATGAGTTCTTAGCTGAAGAGATTCACCTTAAAACGCTTTCTGGAAAAGGTCTTCTTCCACTACCAAATCAGACTATCTTGGCTGTTCCTTCTAAAGTGGCTTCTAATTCCCAAAACAAATATCAAGGTCAAGTTGTTTCCGATGAGTGTAGCTTATGTCGTGAAAAGGGCCACTGGAAGGCCCAATGTCCAAAGTTGATGAACAAGAATGCACAAGGATCTCAAAATCAGTCATTTAAGTCTAGAGAACGTCATACAGCGGTCGTAGCACCACCAGTGGATAAGTCAACTTCATCAACTCCTAACCTGACTATGCTACAGATCAGCCACAGAAATTTCTCTCTTCATCAGCCTGGTGCTCTCACAATTTCTTCCACTATAGGTTCGTTCAACTCAGGTCCTTCAAGTATATCACGAACTACCTGGGTCTTTGACTCAGGTGCCACACATCATATAACCAATGACTCCTCTTTGTTTTCATCTATTGTTTTCCTCCTCTTTATCTGTCCTTGCTGCCAATGGTTCTCACATGTCATTAGCTGGTGTTGGGACAATTATTTCTTCCAACATTACACTTTCAGATGTCTATCATATTCCTCAACTTACTTTGAATTTACTTTCAGTCAATCAACTATTTGATTCTGAATTTTTGGTTCATTTCTCTTCCTCTAATTGTGTTGTGCAGGATCCACGATCCAAGAAGCTGATTGGAACTAGCTGTAGACAGGGCGGGCTATATGTATCGGAGGAGCCGCATGTCCCAGTTATTGATGCTACTGCTTCTACTGTTGATTTATCTTCTTTTCGTTTCAGTCCATAGTTATCTAGTTTTTATTTGGCATTTTTGTCTTTGGTCATGTTTCTTATTCTCGTTTAAAATTTTTAGCTTCAACTGGTAGTTTGGGTAATTTAAGAAGCCATGACATTTCTGATTGTAGTGGATGCAAGGTGGCTAAATTTAGTGCATTGTCATTCAATAAAAGTGTTACTTGTTCTCTTACACCATTTGATCTTGTTCACTTTGATATATGGGAACCGGCTCCTATTCTTACACAATGAGGGTCCAAATATTATGTTTCATTTATTGATGATTACACGAGGTACTGTTGGGTATTCTTGATTAAACATCGTTTGAATTCTTTTCTATCTTTACTACCTTTCGTAACATGATATGCACTCAATATTCCACAATCATTAAATGTTTTCAATGTGATCAGGGCGGTGATGAATATACTCTTACTTCTTTTCATGATCTGTTGAATTCTGATAG